CTTCAATATTCTGATCCAGGTTTATGTTTATGAGACTTTCCCTAAACATACACACACACACACACACACACACACACACACACACACAGTTAGCTGTTTCTCTCCTCCTGGTCCTCCAATAACACTTCATAGATTAATTCGCTGAATTAGAATTAAATTTTCTGCACTTTCTTCTCTTATGAGATTGTGAGGTCTTAGAGGTCAAGGTATATCATTTATTCATCTTTGGATCCCAGAACCTAGCTCAGTACCACCATGGTAACTAATGGGCACTCAATATGTATTTGTAAATAACTGATTACATAGTATATGCTGACTTCTGTGAAATCATTCTTAAATTCTGGAAAATGATACTATTTTTCTATATTGAACTTAGTACGTGTGACCATAAGGATCAAAAATAAATATGCTATTTAAAATAGACTTATTGTGGTGATCATTTTGCAATATATACAAATATTGAATCAATATGTTGCACACCTGAAACTAATGTAATGTTATAGGCCCACTATACTTCAATTAAAAAGTAGATATGCCATCTTTTTTAGATATGCCATTTTAAAAGTTGAATTTTTAAAAAATTTTTAAACATTTATTTATTTTTGAGAGACACAGAGAGACAGAGCACAAGTTGGGGAGGGGGAGAGAGAGAACGAGACACAGAATCCAAAGCAGGCCGCAGGCTCTGAGCTGTCAGCACAGAGCCTGATGTGAGGCTCTAACCCACAAACTGTGAGATCATGACTTAACCAACTGAAACATCCAGGCACCCCTAAGAGTTGAATATTTAAAATTTTTCATGAGATGCATATAAAATAAAAAATTCCTGACTGAAGGGGTGCCTGGACGGCTCAGTTGGTAAAGTGTCCAACTCTTGATTTCAGCTCAGGCCAAGATCTCACAGTTTGTGAGTTCGAGCCCCATGTGCAACTTGTTTGGAATTCTCTCCTTTCTCTCTCCTTACCCAAATCATGCCCTCCCTCCCTCCCTCCCTCCTTTCCTCCCTCTCTCTCTCCCCCCAAAATAAATAAACTTTTAAAAATTCCTAATTGAAAGAAGTAAAGAATGTGGGGGTGTAGAATCTGAATTTATTTGTCAAAATTAACTCATATTTAGAATATAAACTGTCTAAAAATGAGAGACCTGAGTCATATAAGTTTTTTCAACTAAAAGATAAATTGTAAGGTAGTCATTGTGATCTCTTTAGAAATAAGCCTTAGTGGTTAATTTGTAAAACAGGAAGGAGAGTTGAAGTAAACAGAATTAGATCTAAAAAAACTCTTTCTGATTATTTTAGAGGGGCCTCAGCAGTGAGAACTGAGTGCACCTTACTTTACCAATTTGTGAACAGTTTAGAATGACCCAGATTGTGCTTTGCAGTCTTTTTAGTTCATTTTAAGCTAAGCCAAGATAGCTTCTATTTTAAAAACAAACAAAAATAGAAACCAAATTATAACCAATTTATAAAATTAGTCATTTAGGATACATAACATTCCATTGTGTTTATGGCTTTCTTCCTTATTACTTTTCTAGTAACGACAAAGATTTAATTTTCTGTTAGGATGATTAAAATGATTTTTAGCAAGGGGCGCCTGGGTGGCTTAGTCGGTTAAGCGTCCGACTTTCGCTTAGGTCATGATCTCGCGGTTCGTGGGTTCGAGCCCCGCGTCAGGCTCTGTGCTGACTGCCAGTTCAGAGCCTGGAGCCTGTTTCAGCCTGTGACTCCCTCTCTCTCTGACCCTCCCCTGCTCACGCTGTCTCTCTCTCTCTCTCTCTCTCTCTCTCTCCTAGAAATAAATAAAAACTATTAAAAAAAAAAAGTTTAAAAAAATGATTTTTAGCAAGAATGTGCCTGGATTGGTAGCTTATAAGCTCCAAAATAGCAATATTTGAAAACGTATGCCTGAAAGAACTTTTGTAAGCATTCTTGGAATGATTTTTTTCTATCTCCTCCTCCCCCCAACCCCAACTTAAAAAGAAAAAAAAAAAGAAAAGCTTTGGGTGGGGTTAAGAACTCTTTTCAAATCTTAAACAATTACTGGAAATCCTGAAAATGTATTCTCCTTTATTCAGTGGGGGAAAACACTTTAAAGCTTCTCTCTCTTTTTTTTTTTTCTCCTGAGAATTGTTTACCAAAGGATTTACTTAATGGCTTCTATTTTGAACAGAGAATTCAGTTATAACTGCCTGAAATATAATGCCATCTGTGTTTATTCTCCCCCAACTCAAAACACAATTCCTTTTTTGAGATACAACAAGTACATGGCCCTAATAACCCATATAGATAAATTCCACTAATTCTTTACTTTAACCCAGGGTAAAATATGTACCATAAAAATATAAATCTGAATGCAAATATAAAACATACAAAGCACATCTGTAAAATTAAAAATGTCAAGTTCTGATTTTAGTAATTTTTTCTTCTCTCTATAATATTTACTTGGGTGGAGGTAGCTGTGAGGTGAGAAAATAAGACACAACAGGCAGAATCATGGACACTAATGGATGGGACCAGATGCCATGGGACCAAAGAATCACACAATCACTCTGAAGCCAGTTGCCTAGAATCTATGCCACGTTCTGGGGCCACCTACACATCTGCCCCAAACACCAACAGCTGGCATGTGAGATCTACTGGGAAATGAAATTGGAATTTGGTAATAAATGTATTTTAAATTACTTTACATTAATAAAAAAAATTAACATCCATTTATTTTCAGAGAGAGACAGAGTGTGAGAAGAGGAGGGCACAGAGAGAAAGGGAGACACAGAATCCCAAGCAGGCTCCAGGCTCTGAGCTGTCAGCACAGAGCCCGACATGGGGCTCGAACTCACAAGCTATGAGATCATGACCTGAGCCAAAGTTGGAGGCACAACTGACTGAGCCATCCAGGTGCCCTTATTTTAAATTACTTTAAATTGAAAAGTGATATACATATGGGAAACATGGTTAATATTTATATTGAGCATACTCTGAGCTGATCAATTCCTGTACATATCATTCTGACTGATCTCTAACATAAAAAGGAGACTTAATCCCTTTTTCAGCAAGACTCCCATGAGAAAATTTCAAACATTTTATTTAGAGTTTATTTTGCACTTCAAGAATGCTTAAATTCCGTTCATCAATCTTTATTACAGCCTGACATTTCTTATAGCCACAGTAGACTTCAAAAGTATGCTGAAGTATGATTATTTTTGGCCTTATTCAGTTATGATCTCCATTATCAGCCCCAACTTTGATTTTAGAAAGTGTATGTGGTGCCAGCTTTTCTATTCTTAGGGAATGGTGGATGAGTTATAAGCCCTATCAATGGACATAGCCCTAAAATAGCCAGGCACATTTCCCTTCATGCCTAATCTTTCCTGTTGCTACTGAAGCCTTCGCAGGGCAGGAGTTAAGCCACAACAAAACAGCTCCCAAATCATCCCGACAGTCACTTGAAAAATGAAAACTAAGGAGCTGGTCTAAAAGACTAGATCCTTGCTGTTATTTGAAAGCCCTATGTGATTTTTACTGGGAAAAGCCTTACATTCCTCATTGTCTAACTTCTTGACTTTAAGATCCATGTAGAAGAACAGAGATTTGCAAACCTTTCAGACACACAACCCTGAAGGCAGTTCCTGCTTCTCCATTTCCCTTTGCCCAATAGCATCTCCAAAATAAAATCTCAGTTTGTTATGGAGGGACAATAAACACATTCTTTTTTAAAAAAAATTTTTTTAGGGGCGCCTGGGTGGCTTAGTCGGTTAAGCGTCCGACTTTCGCTTAGGTCATGATCTCGCGGTTCGTGGGTTCGAGCCCCGCGTCGGGCTCTGTGCTGACTGCCGGCTCAGAGCCTGGAGCCTGTTTCAGTCTGTGACTCCCTCTCTCTCTGACCCTCCCCTGCTCGCTCTGTCTCTCTCTCTTTCTCTCCTAGAAATAAATAAAAATATTAAAAAAAATTTATTTTATTTATTTCTAGGAGAGAGAGAGAGAGAAAGAAAATGAGAGAGAGAGAGAGACAGCATAAGTAGGGGAGGGTCAGACAGAGAGGGAGACACAGAATCTGAAGCAGACTCCAGGCTCTGAGCGAGCTGTCAGCACAGAGCCCGACGTGGGGCTCGAACCCACGAACCGTGAGATCATGACCTGAGCTGAAGTCGGATGCTTAACCGACTGAGCCACCCAGGTGCCCCAGGACATTAAACACATTCTATGTGTGTTTGTTTCACTGACGTTTGTGCTTGGTTATCACTTTATGGTGTTGATGCCTAGACTTTCTTGGACTCTGAGCTTATTTCCTGAAGTTGTTTGATATACATTATGTACAAAATTGACATGTCATATCTCAACTGTTTTATTCATAATGTCTCTTTTCCCTGATATCTACTGAATGAGACAGACAAATACATGACAAAATAAACTAGTCATAACTAAATGACAGATTCTAGCTTACAAATCCTTCAACACAGCAGACAAAACCATATACTTGACATTAAAAAATGATCAGTAATATACACGTTGTCGATGAAAAACATGGTTATTATAAAACACAAATTAAGCAGTAAAAAAATACTTCTTAACCCCCTTCTAATAAAAGCAGCTTATTTTGCATATCACTTTGCATATTTTGTTAAATAATATAACACTCTAGACAGTGAGGAGTGTTGAATATCTCCAGTGAAGGCTTTATGTCAATAACGACTCTTTGGGCACCCACGTGGCTCAGTCAGTTGATTTCAGATCAGGTCACCTCTAGCGTTTCATGTGATCCTGCATTTTGTATGATTTCAGCTCAGGTCACATGTAGCATTTAATGGCACAGTGCAGAGCCTGCTTGGAATTCTCTCTCTCTCTCTCTCTGCTTCTCTCCTCATCCCAAAATAGATAAATAAACTTAAAAAAAAATTACCGCTTTTAAAATGTCTTGCCCCTACCTATATACCTTGGTACTTCGTGAAAACATAACTGAAGAATGGGAAAAGCATCAGTATTGCCAAACTTGACCAGTACTCACGAGAGGATATTCCCAATATAGGCGTAGTAGGAGCAACAGTAGGGTGTGGTCCCATCGCAACAGTAAGATCTGCAGTCTTTGCCGCACTGAGCAAGGCAGTCCTCTGCAAAACAAATACCACACACGCCCTTTACAGCTCTGACCTCACAGCTTCATGAAAAGTATCCGATTTTATATTACAGTCAGTCAACGACCCCACTTCAGTGCATTTCGATATTCATTTTATGTCCTCAGAATTCTAAAACATGAATAAACATCTAAACTAGTCTTCCTTCCCTATTGGATATAAATCTAGAAAAGGCAAAGACCATATTTTGAATTTCCTTCATCAAACATCGTAATTGGTAGTCAGCATCATTGAATGAGACAATGAAAGGAGAAGTGAATGATCTGAGGGTTCAGTCATTCAATTTTTCAACAGACTTCTTCTAACAATTTTGAAATGATAAAGTCTTTGGACTTGAGGCTACTACTTCCAATTAACATCATTTTATGGAATGTGTTATCGACATGTAGAATGTCACCTGGAGGTAATTTTAAATAATGTATATTTTTATGACAATGCATTGTATGTTACTTTTTCTCTACATTTTTTTTTTACCTTCATAATGGCAGTCTGCATACATATGGTAACACAAATGAGTCTGCATATTCTGTGAACCCACTGGATTGGAAGATGATGAGTCAGTTGTAGGAAGATGTTCCCATAGATAGCTATCTTGTGAATAATTAAGAATTTATTTAATATCAGATTTAAGAATCAACTAGTTATGAAACAGCACTGTGGGATGGGGGAAAGGTGCTTTCTGAGTAGAAAGGACATGTTGGAACTGATAAAACCAAATTACTCTCTTTTTTTCATAGGTTTTTGGAAAGGAAAATTATACCCCAAATGTTGAATAAAAATTGCCCTAGCTTTTAAAAGTTCTTTGTGCCACTTGAATGATTTATGTTTAACAAGTTAAGATTATTATTTCATTATAATCGGTGGTATAAATTATAACAGATATGTGAGTTTTAGGTACCTGATTAGAAACACATTAAGTACAGCCTGATAATTTAAGTTTCAAGTTCAAGAATCACAAAGAAAGTCCTTTCTAACTCAACCCCTAACAGTAATACCAACTATTATCTAGATTACATAACTCTCTTGCTTTCCTGTCAAATCATAACCGGTAACTACAAGACGTCACATTATGTCTGTGTGTCCAGGTGGTGGAATTGTCTATAAAGGGAAATTTAGATTTTTAAAACATTTTTTAAATGTTTATTGTTGAGAGAGAGAGGCAAAGCATGAGCGGGGAGGGGCAAGGAAAGAGAGGGAGACACAGACTCTGAAGCAGGCTCCAGGCTCTGAGCTGTCAGCACAGAGCCTGACATGGGGCTCGAACCCACGAACCAGGAGATCATGACCTGAGCCAAAGTCAGAAGCTTAACCAACTGAGCCACCCAGGCGCCCCTAGATTTTGTTTTTAAATCACCTCCCTGCCAGGACGATTCTCAACAAATGAATGTCATCACAAAGTAGCAAAGTTCATTCTGTTTTTGCAATAATGCATGTACTTTGTAGAACACATGAAAACATTCATCTTTTTCCCCCTCAATTTTACTTCTACCTCATAAATTAACAAACCTTCATGTTTTCTTCTGAGACGTGGTAAGAAGAAATGAGAGGAAGAAATAATTGCCTTTGTAAGATTCAGTAACTCTCCTGCAAACCACTGTTAAAATTTGAAAATAAACACACAATCTAATGATCTATTGACAGGGCATGCTCTTTGCCGAGTGCATCACTCTTTTCAAGGCTATTTATCATTTTCCTGATGAACTTCTATAGCGCTCATTTTTAGTGCTGTGTAGTTAATTGAGACATTTAGATTAGTTAGTTGTCTCAAGAGGCTTAACAGGGATGTTCTGCTTCATGTTCTTTAAAGCCATGCAGATAGTTGGGGCGCCTGGGTGGCTTAGTCGGTTAAGCGTCCGACTTTCGCTTAGGTCACGATCTCATGGTTCGTGGGTTCGAGCCCCGCGTCGGGCTCTGTGCTGACTGCCAGCTCAGAGCCTGGAGCCTGTTTCAGTCTGTGACTCCCTCTCTCTCTGACCCTCCCCTGCTCACTCTCTCTCTCTAGAAATAAATTAAAAAAACCTTAAAAAAAATAAAAAAATAAATAAAATAAAGCCATGCAGATAGCAGGAAAGCTGATGTCCCCTTTTTTCTGTCTGGGCAGGACGACCCATATGTGAGTAGCTTTGCGGGGTGCCTTTCGAATGATGCCCTTGAAAGTGACATCTTATTCAACTCTCCATGAATATCAAAGGCTCAATTACTATTCTTGTGTTCCAGTTACTACTATTCTAAGGACAGGGTGTTATCAAAATATTTTGTACCAATGTTACAGGAAACCAAGCCCAACATCTTGCAGCCAAGAAGCTGGACTATACCTGCAGCAAACATCAAGATCGTGTCACAAGTTGTTCATTATTTTTATGGCATTTTCCAGCGGCCCTGTCTACTTCCCAGAATTAAACAACTGAAAAGAGCAGATGTAATAGTACGGCAAATAGATTCACGATCACAGCATTCTCACACTGAGGTTTTGACCACACGTCAAATCTTCTTCTAGCACGTTACTTGCTTTCTCCAGTTTATTGGAGAACAATTCTGTGAAAATCAGATTTGGAAGACACCAGAGCACTTTCTCCCTTGTGAAGAATGGAACATTCCAACTGTTTCAGAAGATAATTGATACTACTTCTAATATTCGAATTAATATTCTTGCGAAATAGCCAGTCCAAATTTTCTTCACTGAGTTTAATCAAAGGCGTGATCTGGAAGAAGGTCCTCCAACCCTCGCCCCACCTTAAGGAATGTGTAGTGCAGGAAAAGCGACATCTGGCTGGGATCACATGCTCAGAAATGGCTCTTGAAAGCTACAGCTGAGGACAAAAGAGGAAGGAAAGGGAAGGGACAGAAGTCACTTCTGAGGCTGGGAAGGCAAAACCTTGGCCAGATCCTGCCTTTGTCGCCTATAGTGGGAGTTGGATGATGGCGTAAATTTCGTTGAGTCTCTTTCTGAAGGTGATTCTATGCATTAGGCATGGAAACTTCGCTCATACCTCCTTATCAAGTGGAGCATGACTTTAATGCATTTGTTTTGGGGGAAAGTAATTCAGGGCATGCGGGGTGCATCTACGTAGGTTTTTTTCCCCCTTAAAGCTGGCAATTTATTGAACAGCGTGTCTCAACTCTTCTATCTGCATTGTTTCCTCATTTTACCCCAGTCCTCACTTCCAGCCACATCTCTTAGTTCCAACCAAAATGAATTGTGTATCTTTGCAAATATATATCTCATGGTTTTTGCCTTTGTTCCCATTATATCTTTCTCCATTTCCTTATGTCCGTGGCTTCCCTACCAAAAGTCTAGTTCCTAAAATTCCTCCTTAATTCCATTTCTCTGAGCAAATACTCGTTGGGCTCTTCTTATGGGCCAGGTGTTTTGCCAGTCTCTGAATCTCATGCTGAACAAAACAGACATCATTTTCTTGGATCTTACTCCCCGAAGCCAGCAGTGATGTTCCCTCCTGTGAACACCTGTGGCACATGAAGTAATTCGCCTATGACACAGCCTTTTATACGCTATAGTAGGCCCGCTGTACACTTATCTCCCAGACAAGACTCAGAGCATGGCCTCTTTGCTATATCACTCGAAATACGTCATTCACTAAATATTGGGGAAATAAATATGGCAAGCGTAAAAGGATTTCTGAAGCAAAGAGTTCAGGAGTTAACACCAAAGAGCACATTAGCTAAACATTTCTTATCAAAGACAGTAAGTTAATTTAGTATTATTGGCTTGTGGTTACTTTGTAACTTACGAGGGAGGTGTGCCTAAGGAGAGAAAAAATGAATGCAGACAAACTTTCTAAATTTACCAAACTTGTGGCCAGCCGGCACTGCAGATTTCCTGGACCTTAGAGATTGTGTACCCAGCACAGGAGGGGGGGTGGGGTTTGGGGAACAGGAGGAAAGGAAGGAAAAATGCATGCATTAGAAGCTTTCAGTGTACCACAGGGAATAAAATATACAAAAGAATAAGTTGCTGTTCAAAGGTGTGCTTGTGTAAAGATAAATGATGTTGTGTTCTATTTTCTTATTTTTGTTTTCTGTGGATAAACAGAGGAAGTGGAAAGAATCATTGCTTCAAATAAACTCATAAGATTTTACTATAAAACTAATAACACAATTGTTTCTTTTGGCCTCACAAATTCTGAAATATACTTTAAGTAAAAGAAATAAGCAAACAGATTAGAATGCGGTTTTTCCTCATTAAATAGGAAGTTCTTTTCCCACTTTTATAAATTTTTGCTTAAAAGTCAGCATTTTCCTTGCAATAAAATATCTTTTACATAACTTCTAGACAGCCACTAATTTACATTTTAGTGTACAAATTGAAAATTTCTATAGAAGTTTGGGGAGTCATTTCCGGCAAGGTTGAATGAGAAGTTCAATTCTCTTCATGTTCAAGTTCAACAATGTTGAAGAACCGCTTCATTTCAGTTGCAATCTTCCTTAAGTATCAAAAAATAAATCACAGTGCCACATAAATTTACTATTGCAAGGTCACAGGTAAGCCTGTGATTTTTTTTTTCTTTTTGTCCTAGGAAGTGAGAGACATGAAAACATTTTACAAAGCACTTTGCTTTCAGCTTGTTTTGTGAATAGGAAGCAGATGAAAAACCACATGTGTAATTAACTTTATACATGAATAACCAATGAAAAGCCATTTTGAGCTCCATATCAATCACGAACCAAGAAAACCGCTCTGCTCCGTCAATTATTAGCAATTCTCAGGAAGAATAATTAGATGGAGGGAAATTAAATTTCTTTCACCTATAAACAGTGTTTCACGAAATCGATGAAAACAGGATTAGACTCTGGGTGAATTTACGCCTCTCAAAAACCTTGCATTTGAACTCAAAGCATCCAATTATCCAGACTACACACTTGAGAATCATCTTCTGAAGCGAAATAAACAAAACAAAAAACAGAACAGAACAAAACAAAAACCCGATGGTCTAAGGCTTTTTATTTTGAAATATTCAGAGTGTGGGGCTAGCCAGGAGAGTAGATAGACTATCTTGAAATGGAAAAGTCACCACATTAATTTTAAAACTTCAGCAAATACCTCTAAATCTCAGGTAGTTTTTAAAAATGCTTTTCTCCTACCCCTCAGTCTCTGCCCTCAACCCCCCGCCCCCCCATGCCTGAGTCGTGGACAGCATAAATTACATGCTATCCAGAGACTGAAATCCCCTAATTGGGGAACTGGGATTTTTAAACTGCTTGCAGAGAGAGAAGGGGAGAGGAAAGGAGACCAGGAAAGTTAAAGAGAAGGAAGGAAACCAAACAGAACCGCGTGGGGGTCGCGCCGAGGGCCCCAGTCGCCGGCCTCGGGGGCTGCCCGGCGGGGACCACGCCGGCTCGCTCGCCGGCGGAGCCCGAGGGCGACCCCAGCGCAGCCCCAAGCCTTCTTCCCCGCTCCCGCCGCCCCGCCGCGCCACTGACCTGCGTAGACAAAGAGCAGGGCCAACTTCGGAAACAAGATCGCTGGACCCCCGGGCAGCCTCAGCGCGTCCATCCAAGCCGGTGGCCGCAGGTTGCGCGCCAAGACAGACGGACAGACGCACAGGCTGGAGAGAGGGCCGGGGGAGAAGGGGGAGCCCGGGACGCCGAGGCGCGGGAGCGCGATCAGAGGGGCCGGGCAGCGCTGCCGAGACGGGGGGCCCGCGGGGACCCGGCCATGGCCCTGGGAGTCTTCGAGGGGAGCCCAGGCGGGCGCGCGCGGGGCTGCGCGGGGGCCGCGGTCTCTTTGTCTCTGCCCGCGGCGCTTGCGCTCGGGCGGCAGGCGAGGCTCCAGCGTCCTGGGCCACCCGGGCTCACATTTCATCTCCGCGGGTGGCACCGACGTGGGGCTGGGGGCGGGGGTGGCCCCGACTCCACCCCACCCTCCGGTTCTTGCAGCTATAGCGTGAGTCCTGGAGCCGGAGGGAACTTCTTCTAACCCGACGCTTTGGCAATTGCTGTGCAGTTTAGCAAGCTCTTTTTATCTTCCAGCCCTCCACTCTGATTTTTCTTTTAGGAGCAAATGGGTGAAGAAGAGTGTAGCTTTTTATCTTTAAATAAATATAGGGAATTTTTAGGGTTGAGGGTCCTCGACAAAGAAAGCCAATAAAGAAAGCTCAGGAGAATTGGAGAGTCAGAAACGGTGTATAGTGTCTCTGCCAAAAGCTGATAATATATTTATTTGCTGAACACCTAAAGCATTGTCAGTGAAGTGGAAAACAGAACAAGAATGTACACTGGCATCACTATTATTTGATACTGTTCTGGAGTTATTGGCCTATGCAATTAGACAAGAGAAAGAAAAAAGTTATAAAAATTGGAAGCAATATTTTCATTTGCAAATCATATGCTTGTATATGTGGAAAATCAGAAAGAATCAGTGAAACAGCTCTTAAATAGGGTTATGTGACTAGAGAAGCAATTTGCTTTCATGCAAATAAAAATTGATTAGAAAGTTCTTAGTTTTATGCATGAAAGAAAAAAACATAAGTAAGTGAATAAAGATAATTCTCTTTATTTATTATAGAAAATTCAAAAGGGCGATGAATAGGATAAGCCTCAACAGAAAACAGTTACGTTATAACATCACAATAATTGAAACAGTTCTCATTAACACTAGAATAGAAGGCTCAATGGAACAGAATGGAAAATCCAAAAATAAAAACACATATGCATAGAAATTTAATTTATACTTTTTTAAAAAGATATTTTTAAAACAGAAGAGGAAATTATGAGCTACCCAATGGATTGTGTTGGGGCCTTAAGTACGCATCTATGGATTCTTATCTCCTTTCATCAAAACAATATCATATGAATTAAGTATTTACACTAGAGGATGCAATTATAAAAATGTTAGATAAAAATGAGAGGATGACATGTAAATAATCACGGAAAGCTTTTCTAAGCATTATCAAATCTCAAAAGTCATAAAAGAAACAAATTGACCAATTTGACTCCATAAGAGATAAAACTTTCTGTATATGACAAGTCACACATTTGACTGGGAAAAAATATTTAAAATGCATAGGATAGACAAAGTCCTGATCTCCTTAATATGTAAAGAACTTAAAAAATCAATAAGGAAAAGAAAACCAATAGAAACTGAGCATAAATATTAATAGATTGATCTATCATCTATGTATGTATGTATGTATGTATGTATGTATCTATCATCTGTCTATCATTTATCTCTGTCTTCTAGTTTTCTAAATATCCTAACTCCCCAAAAAGAAAAAAAAACAAAAATCGAATTGACAGTGAGACATCATTTTTTCATATATCAGATCAACCAAGGAAACAAAAAACAACCCAACTTTTAAGGAGAACAATGTGGCAATTTGTATCAAAATTTAAATACACATGCAGTTTAATGTAATTTGTCCTCCTCTAGGAGTTTAGTCCTATAAATATGCATGCTGCTGCTTGGATGTAAGAAAATGGGAAGAAAAACCACCTTCAAAATAAATATAATCTGAGATCCCAAGCATGCTGTATGCTTCAGCAAAGGCCTAGTCATCCACCTGTTCAATAAGAAGCCCGGTCAAGTGCTCCTCTCTCTCAGTTCCAACAGCTGATCTATCACAAAGTTTTACTGATTGTGCGTCCAAACAACATTCAAAAATATTGCATTTTACCTTCTATCTCTGCTCTAATCTAGGCTCTTAGAGTCTCCGTTACCAGCAGTTTCCCTGCCTCCAAAGATATTCTCCAGGCGGAAGCTAGAATATTTCTTCTTAAATTAAAGATTTTATCACATTCACTCACTTGTTTAAAACCCAGTGCATTCCTTCTGCTCTTGGCTTAAAATCCAGACATTTAACCCATGGATTTTGAGAAACTTCATCAGTTGCTCCTCACCTGAAATCAACATTCTGCTGGGGAACACAATTTCTAAATAATTGTCAGAATTTCTACATAATCAGAAGAATGGCTGGAGGAAGTCTCAAATATACAGGATTTTGAATCCTTAAAAGAGGAAGATATGGATGTAAGTGACTGTTTGCAAAGCTGGAGAATGAGACTGAAGGTTTTGGGAATGGAATCATGCTTCCCTCTCCAGGTGAAACTGGATGCAGAACCTAGGTCTGGGGTGATGGGAACAGGCATCTGGAGATGAAGGGCATGACCACTCCTGCCCGGTTGTTGCCCACAGCCCTGGGACAGGCAGCTTGTTGCCAATGATGTCAGTAGCCAGTGGGAGTGTTGATCAGAGTAGCCTCTCCTTGCTTACTTTTGAGAACAGAGCCTTCTCTTCACTTCGATGGGAAGACCAACCAAGCTTGCCTGCTGGTTCCCATTGCAAAAGATAGTCCACCTCAAAGTACTCAGGTGCTTAAGGTGCAAAATATGTACGGATGTACATGTGTACACAAATATATATGAAGTGAAAAACCTTAAAACACAGCATTAGAGGGAAGAAATGAGTTTTTTGAAATTAAAATAAAACTTGATTTGGAATTTAAAAATTTTTTTTAAAAATATTTATTAAATTTTGAGAGGCAGAGAGAGACAGATCATGAGCAGGGGAATGGCAGAGAGAGAGGGAGACACAGAATCCAAAGCAGGCTCCAGGCTCTGAGCTGTCAGCACAGAGCTCAATGCAAGGCTCAAACTTGCACACTCTGAGATCATGACCTGAGCTGAAGTCAGGTGCTTAGCCAACTGAGCCACCCAGTCACCGCTGATTTGGAATTTTAAAAATATCACAGAAAAATTATAAAATTGTCACACACAAAAAAAACTTAGGCTGTTAGATCAAATTGAGGGCATATTTCATAACAGAAAAATATGCAAAGAAATACAAACCATGAATTAAAATATTAAAAAACGTTATAGCACATAGAAGAGACCAAATATGAAAGTAATATGCAAGCTAGACATAGTTTTAAAAGAAAAAAAGTGAAGAAACAAATATTAAAAAGATAATTCTTCAAAATTCTAAGCTACAATAAAATTTGAATTTTCAAATTTAAAATGGTGAGTGAGTTCCAGGAAAACTTTTTAAAAAAGAAGAATCCACATATACATATTCTAGAGACCTATTTGAATTAGTATAAATTTAAAATCATATAAATTTTTCTACATAATAAAAAAGTTTGCTTAGAAAGAGAATCGGACATTAGACTTCTCATTTGCAAACTTAGAATTTGAGAGTGAAAATGTTTCTGTACCTTTGAAAGATAAAGACTATAGCCCAAGAATCTTATTTCCAAATCATATTCCATTAATATTTGAGTTCATTAATATATTTCTAACAGCATTTATTATAATTTTAAAACATGATAAAGAGCTTACATGTCCAGTTAAGCAAATTGGGATGCATCCATATTATGGATTAATATCCAATACTTTAAAATAGTGGAGAAAGTCCTTAAGGTATATAGTTAAGAGGAAAACTAGGAAAGGAAAGTATCCAAGAGAAACAATCCATGGGTAAACATGTTGTGCTATACATCCATACAGTGAGACACAACTTGGCAGTAAAAACAAGTTTGAAGAATATGCAACAGCATGGATGACGTTCTGGAAGAATATGTTGAGCAAAGTAACCAGACACAAACAAATGGCTGTATAATATTGTTCACATGATATTCTAGAAAAGACAAAAATAATCTATAATGACAGAAAGCAGCTTACTGGTTCCCTGGGAATGGGATTGTAGACTGTCATAAGGGTCATGGCAATCTTCTGTATCTTAATAAAGGGAGCCATCACCCAGCTGCATACATACGCTGAAGTCATGGAAATGCACATTAATAGTACACTTAAAATATGTATGTTCTAGACTATGTAAATTATACCTCAAGGAAGTCGATTTTCTAAAAGCTATTGCTAATACAAACATGGGAGATAAGAGTTAAGATAAATTTGTAAAAATAGCTATTTTTTGACTGCTGGAATTCTGTTATTTAATAATTTCCCCAAATGTTCACTATAGCTATACATAGCTCTTAACATATAATAAATGTTAACTTCAAAAAGATGGTATCTGGAGGCACCTGGATGACTCAGTCCAACTCTTGGTTTTGGCTCAGGTCATGATCTCATGGTTCGTGAGTTGAAGCCTTGCATCAGGCTCCACGCTGACAGTGCAGTGCCTGCTTTGGATTCTCTCTTTCCCCCTTTCTCTGCTCTTCCCACACTTGTGTACGAGTGCTCTCTCTCTCAAAATAAATAAATAAGTAAACTTAAAAAAAAAGACGGCATCCATCTTTTGCAATGTTATTACATTATTAAACTTATGTCTATGGAGAATATTTAATAATAGAGAAAAATGTTCATAGTCTTTCTAAAGAAGAAGCAAAATTGTACTTCCTTTGAGATCCTAGTTTAGTGAACATATAGATACATACTCCTTTATTTCTGTTTATGTGTTTTCCACATATTTTACCATAAACATGTATTTTTTTATAATGAGAAAAATGGGTTTTTAAATAAAATCGTTTAGTCTGACCATGGCAAGTAGAGTGGATATTTCCTAACAATTAATATGAAAGTTTTTCAATACTATTGTATTTTGAAAATTGAACAGTTTTATCTCTAAAGATATTTTATTTTATTTTATTTTATTTTTTTTACAAATAGTTTATTGTCAAATTAGTTTCCACATAACACTCAGTGCTCATCCCCACAAGTACCCTCCTCCATGCCTCTCCCTCCTCCCCCCCACATCCATCAGTCCTCAGTTTTTGTCAGCATTCAAGAGTCTCTCATGGTTTGCCTCTCTCCCTTTCCCCCACCAT